CCCCAAAACCCCAAAACCCCAAAACCCCAAAACCATTCATAGTATTTAAAGTTAAAATTGATAAATTAAAGAATAATTGAAAGAATGGTAGATGCAAAGGAGTAAGCAGAGAGACTAAGAATGACTAGGTCATATCTGGCTGAGAATCACGAGAGAATGATGTCTGCAAATGTGAGTATCTAAACTCAAGCAGAGATCTTTGACAAAACTCACAGTCTCTATGATAGTAAAATATTTATAGGAGTTGTGATTATTTACTCTAGAATATGGTAAAAAGATCAATGAGTCCTCTAAATTAGTTCAGATGATCAAAAGACAGTAAGCATTTTTATCTTTTGTATTCTAACTATTTCACTTTAGGGAAATATATGAGGATTTACTACTGAGAGGCTCATTTTATGTGTTCCTAGCTATTTCCGCTTATATGGTTTTAAAGCGATTCTATCTTCATGAATTAATTGGATTATTATTTTGGGCGATTGCAAATCTCTGGAGTGTTTTCTTTCAGGGAGTGAACATGGTTCTAAGTTTAATGAATATGACTCTGGCAGACATGCTTATAGATTATAGTAGGACAGATGAGCTAGGTTCTCCTAAATTCGCTGAATATTTCACTGTATACTATTGAAGTAAAGAATAGCATAAGGTTAAAGCTAAAGATGTAAATAACTTTAAACAGGTTGTAGATAGAATGATTCATAATTTTATGACTCGAATAATTTCATTAATTTCTCTTGTTTTATCAATAATTAAATTATTAATAAATTCAAAATCAAATGTCAAACGATATGTATTTCTAGCCAAATTCAATTCGTTCTCTATTGAAGCTTCGTACTCAGTATAACTAGTCTGACTCAAGCAAATGGATCACAGAAGAACTTATATAATAAACCAATAAAGAGTAATCTGATTAGAACCCAGATGCAGATGGTAAATAGAAGAAGAGAGTTAATAAGCGAGCTTGTTCTACTGCAGCAGTTAAGACGAGATCCAAAAAGATCTCTTCTATAAATGATGCTGAGCAGACAGCTCAGATTCAAATGCAGCAGCAATATGGCTAGTATGAATTTACCCCAGAAAAAAATAAAAAGCAGAGACCAAGTTCATAGGATAGACAGAAGGAGCAAAAGTATCAGATATTTGAAGATGATGAGGATGACATACTGAACCCCAGGAATTTCTTAGCAAATTTGTACCAGGATGACAACTTCATGAAGATCAAGGAAAAACTGACAGAGGAATTGATAAATATGCTAAAGCAGAATGTTCAAAAGGAGCAGACGCAGTTAATGAGTGATGTCGACAACTATCTGGTAGATTTAGAAAAGTGGAAGAAAAAGAAGAAAGATCAAGAAAAGTAGTTCAAACAAGAAGAGTAAGAGCTGCTAAAGAAACAAGATGAAGAGTACGAAAGACTGAAGCAAAAGATTCTGGAGGATGAGGAGAACGAATAGGACTAACAGTTCTAGCTGTAGCTTTAGAAACTCAAAGATGAGCAAAGAACAAATAAGTTGATCAGAAGTGATGTCAATTAGTCTACAAAGGAATTATAAAATCAGCATATTCATTCTAAGATCAATGAGAAACTGCAAAATAAAGAGAGATAGATCTAGGATATACAGTCAAAGCTAGGCTAGAAATCCTTAATGCAGAAGAGTGTAGACTTGGAGACTATGTTTGCTGGCAGAAACTTTAGTGATTCAGTGATTAGCAATCAGAGATGGGAGGCGAATGAGAAAATAATGAAGCAGTTTACAGACTTCGAGGAGCAGGCACATCAGTTTGACCAGGAAATAAATGACTTATTGTTTGGAAATCAATCAAGATCCCAAATTGAACTTAAGAATCAGTCATAGAAAGTCACTGATGATGAAATCTAAAGGCTTTTAAATCAGATAAAGGAAAATGAGAAGTTGTTTAAAGATAAGAAATCAGATATTGACGAAGCGAAGGAGAAGATAAAGATTGATAACATCCTAGATGACATTGAAAATGAATTCAAAGAACTAGACGACATCTTAAAAGAAGTTGACGAGCTTAATAGCAGTAATCTTTACGGGGACATAGGAGTCAATGAATATCACTACGACTCAAATATTCATATTAACCCTAAATATGCCCCAAGTGATTGAACTTAGAGGGTACTTGACTTGTTTAAAGTGTGTTTAATAAAAATATACCAATATCTAATTAAGTTAAATATTAATATAAAACCACCTAAGAATGTTTATAATTTAAAATGATTAAATTCATCCACAGGAATTTCTATACTTAAAATAATACAACCTCATATTAATTGCTGAGATCATAGGTTTCCGCTTACTCCAATCTTATAAGTGATTCTAAAGCTTAGCAAGCTCTTTATAAATTCTGTTTCACGGGTGGGCCATGTGCAGGAAAAACAACTGCTTTAACCCATTTATCCAATGTGCTTGACTAATTCGGTTTCAGAGTATTCTGCGTCCCTGAGACAGCCACATTGTTCGGTAAAGGAGGCGCAATGATAAACATGAGTGAGTTTACCTTTGATATGAAAGTCAAATTTCAAATTCAACTCATGAAGACACAGATTGCTCTTGAGGACAACTTCCTAGAATTAGCCAAGAATGAAGGGAAGTAGGCTGTTATCCTCTGTGACAGAGGATTAATGGACGGATCTGCTTATGTCACACCTGAGTAGTGGTAAACTGTCCTTGATGAACAAGGGTGGTCTTTGTTCTAGCTCAGGGATATGTGATACGATGCCATCATTCATATGATAACAGCAGCTGATGGGGCTAATGATTTTTATAACAAGAGCAATGAAGCTAGATATGAAGGAATAGATCAAGCAATTGAAGTTGATAAAAAGCTAAGAGAAGCTTATCTTGGACATCATAAACACTATATAATCGACAACATTAATACTAACTTCAAAGTCAAGATTGACAGGTGCGTAGACGTTGTGACTAAACTGATTGGACTACCTACTCCAAATTCCTTTTTCAAGAAATTTCTAATCTAACTGCCCAATCCAGGAGATCTGAGTAGCCTGGGTATTCCCAGAGATCAGGTTTCAGATACATTCGAATGCACAGAAACTATACTTAACCCAAGCTTTAGCACCACTGTTAATTCAGACAACGGGATAGAAGTGTACCTAAGGAAGAGAGGAAAGAATAACTCCTTTGTGCACAACTATGAGGTGAGGTACACCTAGAATAATCAAAGAATTCAGGAGTAGAAGATTATTACTGCTAGGAAGTATCTAGACTTAATTCAGCAGAAGGATACAAGCATGAATTCAATGATAAAGAGGCGTACCTGTTTCATTTATGAAGGCCAGCCATATCATGTAGAGACCATTCTAAATGTAGAAGGCTAGCCTTCTTTCTTAAGAGCAGAGACAACAAACGAAAATGTGTTAATACCTCCTTTTATCAAAGTTATTAAAGATGTAACGTCAGACCCAGAATACGGAAATAAAATAATGGCATCAAAGGCTTTGCCTAATTTCTGAATTAGTCTACTATACTAATATTTTACACCTTAATTTCATAACAAATCATTATTTATGGATCTATGGGGTTTTGGGGTTTTGGGGTTTTGGGG